TCGCGAGCAAGCGAGCAGGAACAGCATCGAGACGCTGGGCGGGAAGATCATATCGTCCCATCTCATGCTTATCAAAGTCCTGGCTATTTGGCCTGGTCACCTGTGGGAAATCTTTGTTCATTAAGTTGTCTAAAAATTCTACCAGCCAGTTTTTCTGGGTTTTTTAAATGTAGTAAAGGAAAACTAGGCCGGGGCACGATCTGCAGTGTGGGACACCGTCCTAGTGTGTGCGTCCTTGGCGCAGGGTAGCGCAGCCGTAGCTGGGAACAAGAGACTGAGCGTGGTCAGTCATGGCTAGTGTGTGGTTGGTATCCTGATTATATGATCACCCAATGTACTAGCGTGACGATGGTCGAATTCGGGTCTTCTAGATCGTCGTAGCTGTAGACTTCGGAGTTGAGCTCTGGACAAATAGCTAGAGCTACCGGCTGGTAGTCTGAAGTGACCGAGTGGTGTGGACCACCTAAAACATAAAATTTTGAGAGGTCCAAAAGATGTCTTTTGACCCATCCCCATGATAAATGTCACAGGTTATCGGGGTTGTGGAAGCTATCAAGTTGCACAGGTTCATGGGTCGCCAGAACTGGTCTTCCCTTGAAATCGAAACTTGAGGTTAAGATAATGTTGGACACCGGAGACTGGCTTCCTTGAAGCTGATGTACTGAATGGTGGTACCGTGATTGAAGTTCCTTGAAACTGGGCACGGAATGGTAGTACCGTGAGTAAACTGGATGCCGATACTGGCTTCCTTGAGTCTGGGGCGTGGTAGCTCCGAGGAAAGTGTTAGACACTAGTCCGTAATGACTACGTTGAAGAACAACGTAGAAGAAGAAGTTGTGTAATCAAGGCAAGTGTTCTACGAGCGTTCTCGTCTTGCAGAGCCGTCACAATTCAATTCGCCATGGAATGCTTCAACACCAAAACCCACCCCGGTCAGACTCCGGCCGGCAACACCCGTCGACGCCGTGCACGCCGGAGCTAAAGACCGAGATCAAGACTGAGCCATCCGTAGATGATGTTGATGTGAATACGCTCGAAGGCCAACCGCTGTGGCACTTGTTGTTTGGGTCAGACGACGAAGAAGGAGAGCAAGCTATCCCTCCCTTGACATGCCCTTCGTGTTCAGAACCGACACTGAGAGAGAAGAGGGGGAAGTCAGCCTTCTCAACGTGTCGCCTTTGAAGCCAGCACCCGATCCGGATGCCGAGAGTTCATCTGATGACGATGATAAAGAAGAAGTTGAACCCATGTATCGCGTACTCCGCATTTGCGAGCGTCGCTGTGGTTCAAATAACGGTTCGGAGCGTCACCTGTGGGGCTCAGGGATTGAATTCCGGTCAGGAGACTTCACGGCTGAGAAGGCGGAGCAAAACCTGGTCGCCATCTTCGGTACCAAGAGAAAGGCGCAAAACATGGCGCTGGGCAAGGGCATTGCGGTGTAAAGACGGGACAGCTAAACCCAAGGCAAGTGCACTGGGCAAGCGAAAGGCCGCGCCCGAGCCTATCAACGATCTGCACTACAACGTGGGGCATAAATCGTGCCACAACTGTGCCGGGGAGTTCAACGACAAAAATGATGTCGGTCCTCATCTGATTGCTGCCTGCCCAAAGATGAAGTACGACTTGAGACTGGACGTCAAGCGCAGGAACATCCGGAGCCGCAGCAAACAAGTGGGCACTTGCTGGTCGAAGCCGCAAGAAAAGGGCAAGTCGGCTGCCAAGATCAAGAAACCAGCCCACAAGCAGGTCCCGGTTGAGGACTGTCTACCGAAACCGGTGAACGCGTGTGAGACGGTGCAGCCAACCGCCCCACAAACTCCACCGCCTGTCAGCCCGCCAACGACAATGTTGACACCCGGCTACGAAGATATGCACGGCATCGAGCCAATGGACATGGACGAGTCCATGTCGTTCTTCGACACGTCAGTCAGCGGGGACAAGTCACGGAAGCGCCAACCGATGATGGGCAGATCGTCGACATGGTGGCAGGCGTCAACAAGATGGCAGCTAACATGGAAACAGCGGTAAGCTCCATGTATCTTTTTCTGCTTGACAGTGAAACATTTCTGACCAATGACTCTTGGGTACTCGATTCAGGATGCGAGTTCGGGCTATCCAGTGAGGAGTCCCGGTTCGTGGAAAAAAAGACCCGACAACGGTTACATGTTTAAATTTGCAGAAGGGTCTAAGTATACAAATACATACATTGGCACTGTGAAACTTTATTTGCATGGTCCGGAAAATATCCAACCGGTTCAGTTTACGAACATTGCGCTAGTACCGCATGCTAAGTCGTATCCAAGGTCTACAGACTATGGGATGTCTATAACACCAAATACATCGTTGCTCGAGATGTGGTGTTTGATACAACCAATGTAGCTAACATTGTCAATCGAGCCTTTGATCAGTCCAACTTGGAGGTCACAACTCAATTTGCTCTGCGAGAGATACCTGGAGCAGTGGTAAAACAGCAGACTGCATATGAGCAGGCGACTGCTAAAGTAGTAGGAGTATCCAAAAGGAAACGAAGCGCAGGGCTAGCGGAAGCTTTACAGCCTGTAACGCGACCCGTCGAGAGTCCAAACGACCAAAAAGGTATCAGGACTATCAGTGCTTCCAGGCAATCCTGGACAAAGCTAACGCGGAAGAGATCCTAGAAAACAAAGTCTCCATACCAAAATCTATCAGAGAAGCTATGCGTGGACCTCATAGGGAGCAATGGAAACAGGCCCTAGAGTTAGAGTACGACTCTCTCATTGAGAACAGAACCTGGAGATTGGTACTACTACCGCCTGGCCGAAAGGCTCTACCGTGTCACTGGGTGCTCGTGGTGAAATACAACGCTGACGGTACTGTCGAACAATTCAAAGCACGACTCGTTACTCAAGGTAGCCACCAAGAATTTGGAGCTGACTGTGACGAGGTATATGCACCGGTAGCAAGGTTTGAGTCCCTTCGCTTGGTGTTAGCCATTGGGACTATACTGGACTGTCATATCCATCAAATGGATGGATGTCCACACTGTGTTCCTAAACGGTACCATGGAAGGAGGAAAGAAAATCTACATAACAACCTCAAGGGTTTGCGAAGCGAGGCCAAGAGCAGCTGGTCTGTGAACTTCTAAAGAGCATATATGAGCTAAAGCAGGTCCCTCGCATCTGGTATAGAGCTCTTCATACCTTTTTGACATCGATGGGTTTTGCTCGTTGCCACAAAGAGTTTTGTATCTACGTGCAAAAAGTGCGGGATGAATGACTTAATGTCGTGGTATATGTCGATGACCTCACTATTATGTCTCGTGACATGGGGCTCATCAACCGACTGAAAGCCGAACTGTCAAAACGGTTGAAAATAAAAGATCTGGGAGACGCTCACTACATCCTCAAGATGGAAGTGCGACGCAGCAAGCGACGATGATCTCACAACGCAAGTATATCGCTGGGCTGATAGCTAAGTACAACATGGTGAGCAGTTCACCTGTACTAGCCCCACAAGTACCAGGTTTGACACTGGAAGCTGAGACGAAGATGTATGCTGCGCAAATAACAGCGCAGCCTTTCGACTACAGAAGCGTAGTTGGATCACTCCAATACCTGGTTCGTGGAACACGACCTGACATTGCCAGCGCGGTGAGATAATTAAGCAAGTTCCTATCGTGCTACAATCGTACACACTGGGAAGCGGCTAGACGGGTCCTCAAATACTTGAAAGGGGCGTCGACGTACGGTCTACTACTCGATGGAAAAGAGAGTGCCGTGACTCACGAAGTGTACACAGACGCGAGCTTCGCGATTCAACCAAAAGAACGTAAATCAGTCACCGGTTATGTGATTAAAATGGCGTGTCCTGGTGAAGTAGCAAGCAAGGAGCATTTTCTCTCTCTACTGCTGAGGCAGAACTCAGACCACTAAGCGAAGGTGCCAATGAGAGCGAGTGGCTATGGATCTTCTACGAGAAATGGGATTTCCACAAAATGGTCCGGTGCAAGTCTGCTGACACAGCAATGCTGCCATCAGCATCGTCAGAAACCCAGGAAACCACAAAGAAAACAAGCACATCGAAATACGGTATCGATTTACGAGAGATCTGGTGGAACATGGTCATCTCAAGATAACCTATTATGCCACAACAAAGATGGCGGCCGATATTCTGACAAAGGCATTGCCGACCAAACAATTCCTAAAGCTGAGGTATCAGCTAGGAGTGATGGATCCTGAGCTTTCCCCACGTACTTAGTGGGAGTATTGGCCAGCATGGCGATCAGACGCCGAGTCGCCGAAGGCGGCGAAGGGTCGGTAGATGCTGGACAGAATTAAGTGTGTCAACACAATAAAATAATTACTTTCATTAAAACAATAGTAAGTACTTGAGTTAAACAGATCCTAAGAGCACTTGGATACAGTGTACCAGCAGGCAGAGGCTGTCTGTCAGCCAAACACGAGTGCGATGAGGACTTGAGGGCAGAAGGGAGAGATGCCGTCCTCGGACGAGCTCACTTCTTCTTCTGCCTCAGACTGAGCACAAGTCTAGAGAATAGGTAGTTAAGAGTAAAAGTAAAAAAACTGTTTTGAGAGCTACACCTTTTCCAGTCCAATAAGGCCAAGAGCAAATGGTATTAGCCAAGTGCGGGAGCAGTTTGGCCAACAGCAAAAGCGAATTGATGAAGAGCAAAGGCAAATTGGCGCAACCTATCAATATGCATACTTGAAGATCATTCGTTAGCGCAGTGAATGACTGCGTATGCAGGCAGCGCACGTAGGCTTCGCGCCTTCACACGCTCTGCATTCCTTCATTCCGCCAATGCGCACGCGATCTCTTTGGTTCCGCCAATAAGCAGCCTCAAACCGAGCCCAAAGGGGAATTCACGAGCTTCAACATGCTCTAGCGAGAGCTTCCCCGCCTCAAAGGCTTCAACCGAGCCCAAAGGGGATTCAACATGCTCTAGCGAGAGCTTTTCCGCCTCAAAGGCTACACTGCTGCGTCTTGGGCCTTATTCGCCCATGCTGAACCCGATTGAGAATGTATTCTCTGCGTTCAAGTCTGCTGTTAAGGATTACATGACCGAGCACCGTGCAGACATTCTTGCTGTCCCCGAAGGTGTCACGATGAAGGCGCACAGACAGTTCCATCTCGCACGCGCTGCTCGCTCGAAATTCCCTGAGGTTGCTACACCAGGTCTGTGCGAGGCATGCTACCGCCACACGCTCACCTTTCACGTGAAGGTCACGGACCTCGAAGACATGCCTGTAGGCCGTTGAAGCGAGCCAGACGAAGTGCGTGCATCACGACACGCACTCACTATGTAAGTGCATATGTAGTGTAGTAGTTCTTCCAATTTGCCTTTGCTCTTCATCAATTCACTTTTGTTGTTGGCCAAACTGCTCTCGCACTTGGCTAATACCATTTGCTCTTGGCCTTATTGGGCTGGAAAAGGTGTACTCTACAGCATTTATTCTAGCAGAAACCCTGCTCGACAGAGATTCCGACGGGGGCGAAGCCTCCGAGCCACGCAAGAAGCCCCTGAACACGGCCAAGTGGCTCTTGTAATATTTCAAAATAACATTTACGTTATTTCAAGATATTTTGATTTTCTTAACGCTATTTTTAAACGTTGTTGCAAAAGCTGACATCATTCTAGCAATCCGATGGAGAGCGAGGACACGGCGCCTGCTATCGCGCAGCCTAATGTGCATATTGTAGCGGCAGTAGTAGAGGGCGAAGAAATGTCCAAGAGGCAGCTTAAGAAGCTCCGACGTGCAGAGCGAGACCCTGTCGAACGTCAGGCCAAGAAGCGGAAGGCGAAGCGAGACGCCAAGAGTGCCAAGCGCTTCCATGCCGAGGAACCCAAATACTCGTTTGCCAATGGTGCTGATAGAATATTGTAGAGGATACTACAGATGCCATGGCACTAACTAGGTTGCACATTGCGGTTTTATGTAGGCTATCGGATGGTGGAGCCATACGTGTACGAGTTTCGGACGTACGCAAAGGCAAGATGGTTCGACCGCGAGTTGTTAGAGATTTTCACGAAGGAATTCGGTGCCAATTCGCCAGACTATTATGTACGATATTGACGTATTAGATGTTCCTTTTTTCAGGCTGACTGAAGCTGGATCTTGCAGAAATTCGCCATTGCTTCGGGACGCATCACAGTGAACAACAAAATCGTTCTGGGAGACACCGTTATCAAGAACGGAGACTTGATTATTCATACGGTACGGGTTGCATGTCGATGTGAGTACCTGTGGGTTTCCTAACTGGGTGTGCTTGCTGCTTTGATTGACTTCCTGTAGGCTCATCGGCACGAGCCACCCGTGTCAGGGGAAGAAGTGCGTGTGGTGTACGAGGACGACGACTTGGTACGTCGTTTAGCCATTGTAAAGCCTTGTTGAGTGCTATGGACTGATAGATACTGGCTTTCTTTATTAGATCGTCGTGTCAAAGCCTCCATCTATGCCTACCCATCCATGCGGGGCTTATCGACACAACTCGCTGCACACAATCCTGCAAGCGACCCGACCCGACCTTCCACAGCTGAATATCGTTCATCGGCTTGATCGGCTTACATCTGGTGCGTTTAAGATCGCAACTCAAGTGAAGATCTGCGTCTCCTTAAACGACGTTATAAACTATACAGGTGTTGTGCTCCTCGCCAAAAATGCGGCTAAGGCAAGGGTTTTATCCTCCATCATTGGTAAGTCTTCTAAAATGCAGCTTGTTGTTAATTCTAACGTTAAATGTCTGCATTCCTTATAAATCAGCTGACCGCCAAGCTTCCAAGACGTACCTTGCGCGTGTGCGTGGACGATTTCCGGATGTCCTCAGCTCTGAAGTACAAGACAAGCTGGTGACTCAAGCAAAAGAGATTTGCCCGGCCAGTATCATCACTTTTCCAGAGGAGGGTGCCGTCCTTATCAGCTGTCCACTCCGCTGCCTGTCAGCCCGTGACGGTGTCTGGGAGTGTCACGAAGAGGGGAAACCCTCTGAGACTCTAGTGCGGCTTGTTCGTACCGACAAGTGCACCAGTCTTGTGAAATGCAAGCCGGTCACAGGACGAACGCATCAGATTCGATTGCACTTGCAGCTCATCGGGTTTCCCATCGCCAATGACCCGTGCTACGGAGGAGAGCTACACTTTGGTGAGAGTGCAGAACGGGCCGAAGAGATCGCAGCTGCTAAACGCATTAAAGATGATCTTCCGCCGAAGGACCCTGTAGATTTCTCGACTCCTCGTAAGGAGAACGAAAGCGAAGACGAATTCATGAAACGAACTTGCACGTGGTGCTACGTTGGCGAAGCTGAAGCGTTCAACGAAACACAGCTACATTGCTCGAAGATCTGGCTGCATGCGTTAGAGTACAAGGTAATGCGGCGTTCCTCTTTAAATGTTTTAGGCCAATTTCTAACGTTTGTGTATGTGCTGCACAGCTTGATGGTCAAGTGTTCAAAGTGTCAGAACCAAGTTGGGCTGCTCCCTCAACGGAGTACTGAACCAACAACTACGTTGGAGACGCTTAATTAGGTTCGAAAAGCGCTGTCGAGGAGTAACGGGTAGTCGACGGAGCAGTTGGTGGTGGGGAAAAACTTGTCTGCGAGCAGGTACGAGTCATCGTCAGATAGTTGGGGGGCAACAGAGAGAAGCGCATCCATGAATTCATCTTCACGCAGTCTGCCGTTTTTCTCGACATCTCGTTCTCGTAGAGCCTTGCGTAGCTGATATTTCCGAGCCCCAAACACTCGTTGCAATAAGCTTACAACGCGAGGATCCGCTAGGGGTTGCAAGTGCTGCTCCGTTTTGCTAGCAGATTGTGGAGGTCTGTAAACTTCTGGTGAGCTTGTCGACCGTTCGGTTGAGCGTCCGCTTCCTGGTGGCAATGCGTTGTCACCTTCTTTGGAGAAATTTAAGCTGAAATCGATATCCTTCGGGTCGACTTCTTCTGCTTGGTCAGACTGCAGTTGAAAAACGTAGTCACACAGGCGGTGGATGTCGATCCTCCCGTTGCTAGCTGTAAACCTGGAAGTGAGTACATCGATTTCTGGCTTCGACAGCGTCACGGACCGATCATCCGTAACACGCAGCAAGTCGGAGACCGACACATAGTCGTTACTTGATCCAGCGTAAGATAGAAGCTGTCTTACTTTCGGGATATTCATCAGCTTCCAGCTCATGCTACGTTCTGTATCTTTGCGCTCCTCATGCGACGGTGGGATACTCACAAGAGCTGAGAGGATATCGCAGAAATCGTCGTACGCGAATAGTAGCTCCTCGCTCTGGTTGTTGTCGATCTGGAACCTCCTGAATAGTGTTATCATTTGCTGTGCATTCAAACCTGACGCTAGTCCTGCTCGACTCAAGACATTCTTCATCGCTTCCATGTTTACAACATGTGCATTGTTCCTGTCGAGTTGTCGCCATTCACGACGTAAGTCTACAGGACGCGGTCCTCTCATCCAGAGTTTAGCAGTAAATGCTAATACAGCAGAGCTGTCAGAGAAACGGAAGACTTCAGGGTGACTTTCACAGAAACTCAATGTCTGCGAATCAGCCTCCACAAGCTCCAATCGTTGATATGGTGAGAATTCGAAGGTGAGAATTGCTCCCACGTACATATCTGAAGCCTGGTAGTGCAGTGGGACTCCTTCATGTGTCATACCATTACTTTGAATTAGCTTGGGATCTTTTCGAAAGCGAGCACGGTCTAGGAACCGACCTCCCAATACTCCCGAGTTTCTCACGCGAGGCTCGAATACAGCTAGCGTTTCGTCTTCAAGGAAATAGGTGACCACGAATTCACGTTGAGCGTTCATATCGCCACGTGGAAGTCCTTGGAATCGAGCTCGAAATCTCAATTGCTTCCCATCTAGATCGTCGTATTGACATAACGGGGTCACTACACTGTGGTTCTGACCTCCTGGAATTGGAGCCACGAGTCTTCCTTGCATGGAACTATTGTTGTTGTTCACGGCATACCCACTCGTACCTCGACCACTAGAAGCAAGTGGGGGTTGAGGATCTTGAGCTGCACGAAATGGCTGCCACTTAGTTGGCGTATCGGGTGATTCTAGCAAAGGTGGTTCAAACTTCTCTTGGGTGACACCATGAGTCTCCAGATAATAGTCGCGCGTAAATGCATCGCAGTCTTCGAGTAGCAATCGTCTTGAGAAGACGTTTATCCACTCACCACAGCGTAAATCTCGGTCCGTAATGAAGTAAGTCGCTACATCATCGTCTTGTTGCTGTTGATTCCCAGTACCTGACTCTCTCGCTAACCGCCTCCGTGATAACAAGACACTAAAATGGCCTCGGCCACGTTCTCGGTTTCGGTCTCGATCTTCTATGACCTCCACGGTGTCGTCACACAGATAGTAGTGTACGATGAAATATCGAGTCTCAGGGTACAGTGGATGATCATCACGCCAGGAAGCGTAGAATCGAAGCACTTTCTGGTTCAGATCATGAAATTTACGCATCGCTTCTGCTCTACTAGCACCAATAGCTTTGGTGCGTTCACGTAGTTGGTTTTTGAGCTCCTCAACTTCGCTCATCTTTGAGCTTTCTTCGTCTGGATACATGCGTGGGGTTTCCAGCGTCTCGCCGAGCGCTTCAGCGTAAAAATTCCGAGTGGCGGCATCGCAGTCCACTATGTGGAATGTTCGTCCGTATAAACGCAACTCTCCGCCAATTCGAAAATCTTCTGGTGAATAGAAATCGTCCAAGATGTTTTCTCGAGGATAAGTGAGACTTTTGTTGCCGGACTTGCGAACGACTGTGCGTCGCATGAACTCACCTTGAGGGATCCCGCTGTTAGTGACTCGAGGCTCCGAGATGGAAATGGAACGATCGCTAAGGTAGAAACACACGACTACACGTCTCACCCGTAGCTCCCTTCGTCCATCAGCGAGTTCAATAGGTTCAGTGAAGTACGCAAAGAAGCGCAGTACAAGACGATCGTGTGTGATCCACGCTGGTTGCGAGTAATCCACTCGATATTTGCTGCTAGGAAGCTGGAGATGACTCACTTCGGGATGTGCAGGTGCAGTATAAGTGGCTTGTGTGGTAGTAACTGGCCGGAATTCTTGAACTTTCACTCCTGTGGCGTCGGATACAACCGATCGGAACGTACTCGTCGGTGCCGGTGGCAACGTCTCGGTGCTGGTGAGTTTGCCAATCGACATGCGCTCCAGGAGTTGTCCTCGACGAAAATGCGGCTTGTTTATCTGCTCGTAGTAAGTAGATCTCATACCCGGGACCAACGGCATAAAGGCTCGAGTACTGCTGTCCCCCATGGCCGTCAAACAACAACCTTAACCTGTTTAAAAGTCCCAACAATTCAAAGTGCTCGATGACATCAACAGCCACCGTTGAAACGCACCGCAACCGTTAGAAATCCACAACGGACACTTGGATGGAATGCGCTAGTACAAGACGTGAATGAGATTGCAAATATATTGAGTCTTTGACGCGCACAGCCAGCGTTATCGACATGTACAATACGCTTGGCGGCAGCAACAAAGGCCGTCCAAGAATGAAAAAAACCGCAACGAGAATAAGTGTACTACTACCGCTAGCGTCGGTGGGCGGGGGCACTCTACTCCGCAGTCTTGGATTTCTTCTTGCCCTTCTTCTTCTTCTTCTTCTTATCAGCATCGACAGCAGGAGCAGCCTCCTCCTCTTCAACCTTTTTCTGCTTCTTGTTCTTCTTCTCCTTCTTGGATTTCTTAGTGGATGTCTCTTCCTTAATCTCCTCCTTGATCTCCTCAATGTCCTCAGCCGGACGCTTCTTGGACTTCTTGTCCTTCTTGGACTTCTTGTCCGACTTGGTAGCAGCCTTCTTCAGCTCTTCAGACACCTCCAGCATCACGTCAGCGTTCTTACGAGGAGCAGCGCCGCTCTCGTAGAAAGCCAGACGCTCCTCTACCTGCTCGCGCATCTTGTCACCGTACTTGGTGGTAGGTTCGTCAATGAACGAGTCAATACGCGACGCAATAGCGCACTTGTTCGCCAAGTAGCGAGAGATGCGGCCCTTGTTCTTAGCAGCAGCACGACCAATGAACGTCGAGTGGAACAGCAGACCGTACTTCGGCGTGTTGCCACGGGTCTTGAGGGCACGGAACAGAGCCTTCTCAGCGCCCAGAATCTGCACCGTCGAGGCCGGACACTTGGCCAAATTGGTCAGCGAACCAGCGTGCGAGATAAGACGAGCACCCACCGACTCGCCGATAAGCGACGCGAGGTTGGGGGCCACCGTCGACATCTTGGACACCAGGTACTCGTGCAGTTGACGACGGTACTCGGCCAGCTTAACGAGACGAGTGGTGAAGTTGTCGACGTTGATCATGTCAATCTCCGACATGTCCATGCCCATGGACGAGCGAGAGGCGTGTAGAATCTGCTGGGCCTTGTCCTCATCTAACACGATCTTGGACAGCTCCTCGAGCGAGTCCTCGTTGAGAGAGCTGCGGTTTTTAATGAACGAGGCACAACGAGCGTACACGTAGTTGTCGTTGACGATCTTGACCAACTCGGGAAAGTGCCACGAGTACCACTCACGCACACGCATGGCGAACGTGTTGATATCCTTGTCCATCTGGTCCAGCAGAGCGATGGCCTGAATGATCATGTTGTCGGCACGGTTCACGTTGAATTTCACCTTGGCACGCGAGTACGAGTGGCCAAGACCAAGCTGAGCCTTGGCCAGGTTGCCCTGAGCCAGCTCCTTCACGAACGTGGCGAAGTGCACACGCACACCACGCACGATCTCCAACGTCGTCTCGCTAGTGTTGCACGGGGCGTTGAGCTCGTCCGAAATGGCCTGAGCCAGACCCTTGTCCTGCACGCCCAGAGCGAACTTAGCCTTCTTTCCGGCCTTGACCTTGGGCAGGTTCATCTCCAGGAAGTTCTTGAGATCTTCGCTCAACAAGCCTTCCGAGATGTTGTTGATGTTCTCCAGGGCGTTCTCAGCCGACGTAAAGGGCTGGAAGGCCTTGAGTTTGACGATACGTCCGAACGAAGACACGTCCGCCACCGCGGCCTGCACTTCGGAGAGGAGACCGCCGATCTCCTCGTTTTCAACGACCTCAAAGATTGCATAGCCCGAGGCCGACTCAAACAGCACAAAGTTGTTGGCACCCTGGTGTGGAAAATGAAAGAAAATTAGTGCAACGTGTACGCGGGCGTCTTAGCTATTGAATCGCGCAGGTTGCATATGCAACGGACGTGTGTGTCGCGAGATAAGGCCGCGCATAAATCACGTGTCCTAACGCACCATTGTTCGCCTTGACTGCTGTGTTTTCCAACTGGGTGTTGGCGGCGGGGCACGTTCAGCTCCATTGGTTGCTGGCCAGCCAGGTCGATCTTAGCGTTCATTGGTCGGTATTTTAACTTTTCTGCTACGGTCATTTGTCGAAAAGATATTAATTTGTTTTATTTTCATCCAATGCGTGATGTTTTAAAGTATCCTGAAAAGACGTTTGATTAAAATCCTACAGACAGAAGTTGCCTTTTTGAGACGGAGCACTGCCAGGTCTGATGGAGAACACGTGAGGTCACCACAACGCCACGCGCGCAGTGGCTGCAGGTCGACGGCCATCGATGAAGTCGAGTCTTCTCCCTCATGCGGCGGGCATCTTTACCGCCAAGAACGGGCCGCAATGAAGAAGCATTCGATGCACATCGCTCATACTTCGATTGTCCTCGAGACACCAGAACCAGAACCAGTCGCTACAAAATGAAGAACACTCTGCTTTGGCTCTTCGTCACCACACTGCTTGCCGCCGTAGCGCTAGTAACGACTGCGCAGAATGGGCCTCCGTCTGCAAATGCCAATGCTGAAGCCTCAGAGCAAATATCATTCGCAGCTTGTGGACCGCGGATCCGGAAGCCATGGGAGCTGCTACTCCCTGCCGAAAAAGAACTCTACTTGCGCGCGATTGCGATGTCCATGGATGACGGCTACTACATCAAATTCGTGGAGATCCACACGGAGCAGATGACAACGGTCGAAGCCCACAACACATGCATGTTTGTCTATTGGCACCGCTTGTTGCTGTTAGGCTTCGAGAACATGCTGCGGAGTTACGGAGGCGAGTTCTCGTGCATCACCGTGCCATACTGGAACTATGTAGACGACAACCAGCGCTATTTGCTGGGAGGGTGCCGCAGTATGGAGGAGTGCTCACTACTCTTACGTGAGTTTGGAGGCTCGTTGAACGGGTTTAGCCGCTCTATCACGATTAATGGGTCTCCTATCCGTGGAACCTGCGTGGCGACACCGCCCCTGGATCACTTTTGCGAAGCCACGCACGTCCGCGGAGGGAACTGCGCGCGTTGTGTCCCTCGTGGAGACTGGTTAAGCTCTCCATTCCCACCGACGACGTCCGTGAGTTCACTTGCTCGTCAGCTCTTCGCGACTCCAACCATTTCTGGTGTTGTAACCAATCTGGAACTCGGCATTCACAGTAAGCTCGCCAATGACGTTTAATCGATGCATCTGTAACTTGGCTAACATTGTTGTGCTCGTGTAATCTAGACACCGTTCACAGTGCTCTTGGTGGAGCTATGGGCGTCCTTGAAGCGCCGGCAGATCCCATCTTCTTTTCCCATCACGCCACCATCGACCTGCTGCACTCCATTTTCTACAAATGTGTTGTCGGCAACACTGTCCCGATTCCGCTCGAACAAAAGCTGTCCGATCCTCGAGTGTACACGGAATGTCCGCGTCGTCGCCCACTCCCAGTGAACGCAATCGATCGCAACGTTTTGTACCCGCAATCGAATATTTTGCTTCGCACTGGTGAAGAAGGAATAAACCCGACGTCTGTGTTCTCGCAGTTCAACGTGCTTGACCCGTTCTTCGCCGACCTTCCTTCATCATACCTGAGCTTCTCGGACATTCGCGACCTTGGTGTCTACAGCTACAACTACGAGATGACTGGATTGCTGGCTGAAATGTTCACGTCGTGTCCTGGTGCCGGCTTCAGATCTGGTGTACCATTTCGCCAGCTTGAAAGCACTAACAACACGGAAACAAAGCATAAGTTCGTGGAAGCAGTGATCGTGCCCAGCAACACGACAACAGACAACTGGTTCAGTGAGGCATTGGCTGCGGCACTGAACAGCTCCTCAGTTGCGTCCGTGATGGAAGACGCCTCAGCTGACGCACTCGATGCCATTGAAGACGTAGAGAAGATGACGTGTGTCTTCTACGATGAATGCCGTGGCGGGGTGCACGACTTCAGCGATGATTTCCGTCAGAGCTTCCATGCTAATGGCTCGTCACCTTGCACCACCATCCTCGCCAACATCAAAAGCGGTCGCGACCAGATCCGAACTCCCAACTGGCGCTCAATCTTCCTCCGTCACATGAAGTGCGACAAAGCGTGAGCGAATCGAAGCATGCGATGTGTGTAGTGTACTTTGCTGTAGCAAGAAAATAACAATGGATGTAAAACAATGCGCATATTTCCACTCACACTTGCTGAATTGATTCGAAGTTGACATTCTCCTATAGCTCCTGGAGAACTTCTTCAATGTAACTTACAAAACTCGAGTCAATCTGCTCCTCCTCCTCTTCGCTACGCTCGTGGACGGCTAACCGCTTTACGGTTCCTTCCAAGGCGCCAGTGTCCACAGCGATCGACATCTCGACACAAAACACGCACTGGAGCTCGGTCTGAAGGACGAAATGCAAGCGTCAGACCTTGACCAATATGGGGAACTTGCAACAACAGCGTACCATTTCCGCGAAGAAGAAGAACTTGACCAGCTTGTCCATGCTTCCGCTTGCCAAACAGCTCAGGCAGTTGCTGCGGAAGAACTCAATAACTTCATCCACCTCGGGCATTTCGTTCAAAGAATATGACAATGAAGCGCTGTAAAGAGCGCAAAAATGAGGTTAGACGCTGTCAATTTGCACACTTTCTAACAACGACACTTACATTTCCGTTGCCGTGGCCCAAACCTGTTCAAACTTTGCCGCGTCAATCGCAGGATTTTCGGCCAAATAATCGCGTGCTAACATCTCGTCTTCATCATCGTCAAAATCCTCTTCGTCGTCTTGGGATGTGACGTGAGACGCAGTACGAGACGCTGAGTGGGACGCCGTGTAGGGGGTTGTTTGGAGCTTGATTGGCTCGGGTTCTCTTCCGTTTTGAGGCTGCTGCTGGGCTTTAATCTGCGCTGGGTCATGCTGGGGCTGAAATGCTCTTACAGGACGCACTAGAGCTTGTTCCGCGAACTGTTGGAGAGCATCCTTAAGGATCTCCATGAAGATGACGTGGCCGTTTCTGTAGAGTATTGAGTTGACAATCCACTTGAGCGTCACAGACATGTCGGTCAAGCCTGGCATGACAGAGATATCCACCAAGAACAGAGTTCCCTCGGACTTCTACGTACAAAAAAAGTTAGAACACATCTGTAGAGCCTACTGAGTCAAAGAGGAAGAATACCTGCTCGGCAACAAACAGCCACTGCTGCTGTCCGCCAACCTTCTTGCTAGACGCACACATCAGCCGGTACGACTGTAAGAACGCTTGGAGATCGCGCGGATCCAGCTCGTGGGCGTCTACGGAGCCGAGATCCACCGACCATTCCTCTCTGCAGACACAAAATACTCATTAGCGACAATAATTCATCAAGCCACGCTAGCTGCAACAACGTACGATTCGTCGTTCGCTGACTCCCACATGTCCTCGAAGTCACAATCATCCACCGATGGATGCTCCACCAAGAAATCCTCAGCAGCAACAGCAGGGGTCTTAGCAACGGACCCAGTGGCGGATTGGCCTGAAGGTCGATCTGTTGAGCTAGTTCGAGACGAAGAATCATCCACAGGATTGGCTCCACCAATGAATCCAAACGCAGATCCGTCAGGTTTCGTCGCTTCTGGTGCTGGTTGCCCAATAAAGTTGAAGCCTGATCCCTTAGTACTCTTCATAGGAGGTGGCTTCGCTCCATTGCCAATCGCGAAACCGACAGGAGGCGCGTAGCCATTCTCCATCGACCTCGAATCAGATTCTCCGTCATGATCATCGTATTCGCTACTCGACGGATAATGAGACGTCTGGAACCGAGGGTCATTGTGACCAATCGTCTCCCTGTGATTCATTCCAAGTTCGCTAATGGTTCCAACCGATTCAGTTCGTCCAGGATAGGGCATTCCATGGCCAGCTAGGAAGAGCTTCTTCCCTTCGTCACTTATTGACCGTTCCCGGCCTTCCCGGTTGTTCGCAGTGACCGGACAAGCGGAGCCAACATCCTCTTCGGAAGTATCCGGATCAGCAAACTGCGGATTATCTGGATCTAGTCGGACAGCAGCAATCGCTTGTAAGAATTTTCGCGCATCAGCGCGATAAATGTTGTCATTCCGCTGTTGGGAAATGTGCGTGAAGACATCCAGATTCTCCTCAAATTCCTCCACACACAAATTCTGCTTTAATAGAGCCATAGAGGCGACAAACGCATTCCGATGAACCTGAAAAGAGTATCCGGTAAAGGTAAGTGTATCCATTAGTACGATAATTAGTACTTTAGCGTAGATAAAACGTACGTGGGTAGCGTAGAACTCGTATTTGGCCTGGAGCCTCTCCACCAGCGTGTCTGCAACTCCCTGTACGCAGATATACGAAGCCGCAGAAGGTAAATTAAATCGAGCTTGTCACTAATATCCAGAGTATCCTTCTTCGCACCTGTCTGTCTTCGTCCCCAAGCTCCAATACGCCCGTAACAAACATCACTATCTTCTCGTCCCTCAGAGTACCGTAACAAACCGCGTTCACCAATTTCGTCACGGCAGATGAAGCCTTCGGTTTACTAGGACTTCGCTTCGGAACCACAGCACTGATACTAACGTGAGGGACTCGTAGTTTGCGTCCCCACGACTTTTTCACAGGTCTGCTGCTGCCTTTCTTGCTTGCACCCTTCAGGATGTATACGCGTACACTTTGTCCAAATCGAACCACATCTCCCTCTAGTTAGCAGCACTGAAGCATCAGCATCATGACACTACAATCTGTTCCTTAGATCAGAACCTACCGTGCAGAAGAAAAGGATCATGCGGTGGAATCTTCTTGCGACCCACGTACGTCCCGTGTCGCGACATAAGGTCCACCATCTACACCATACAACAACATACCCACATCAGCATGAAGCCGAAGTTGGTATAAATATGGCTGCAGACAACGCTGCTAAACTCACATAAATACCGCCCTCGTTGTCGTGGATGACGGCCGCGTGTTTCCTGGAGACCGACGGGTTACCAAGCACGTGATCGCAGCTCTCCTGGTCGCGACCTAAAATGTTTACACGCTGTGTAGCCACCATGTACGTGGCGCAGTGGCGACTGTCCCGAAAGGCCTCGAGTCTTGCATGGGAGTTGGCCTCGACTGGCATGCACGCCCTGTGACGCAATTGTCAAGCTTAGAGCGATATTTACACAAGATCGCAGCGAAAAAAACGCACCAGTCGGGTGGGTGGAAGGCGGCAGTGCTGGTGCACAGGAAGGCAGCGCGCCCTGGGGAGTCCATGACGCTCCGCTCGCTCACCGAGACAGCGCGACTGACTATGCCGTGAGGATAGATAATGGGAGCCGGTTGACACTTTTTATTGGTAGAATATCAAAAAAAGATTACTGTGATTGGATGAAATGTAGTGGGACTGTCGAGTGAGAGGTTGCTTGCACTTCAAGAATGACATTCACTTGACGCGACCTGTATGCAAGAAAGATCCCTCCTGTCCAAGCATACACCAGCCACCATGCTCAGGCCGACTCGAGCTCCATCTCGGCAGGGGCTGCCGCTCCAGCGTAGGGACCTCGACGCAGACTCGCCTGCAGCTTTTCCAGTAAAGATGCATCTGCAACATGACAACAACAATATCACGAACGGGCACTGCATAAGTCGACGCGAAATCCCTACGGTCCACCATTGCAAAGCCTGAGGCAAGCAGCATACGTACCCAACAGCGAATGGAATGGCGAGGCTAGAACAGCGTCCAGTACTGCGAATTTCCACTCCCGCGTCTCCTTGGTCGGCTCAGTGGTGCGGTCCATGAGGAACTCGAAGAAGCCGCCGTATGAGAGCAACGCACGCATCCCCCAAGCGCTGTTCTGTGCAGCCACGGAGCGTAGAACGTGGAAGACAGACGTCCGCAACTCCTCGAACGGCTGCTTCAACGCGTTCATGAGCAAGACTAAAGTCGACTGCTGCGCACATTCCACTCCTAAACTATTGAACAACCGCTCGCACATGTTCCAGACACCGGCATTCTCCTCAGGCACTTGCTCAGGCTGCTTCGCGAGTCGCGTGTGTGCCCCGAGCACTCGTGCCAGTGAGTGAAAACAATTGGCTTTAACCGGCATCTTCGTACTGCTACCGAACTGTAGCCACACTTGACAAATGCTGCGGTATTGGAGCAGAAGTTGGAGCTCTATCATTGTAAAACATCAGTGTACAATTTCCAGTAATAAAAAATATTTAGAGGAAATATTGAGTTTACCTTTGTCGGACGAGGACGCAAACGCAGCCAGCGCGTCCATGGCTGCAATCTGTTGCAACGAATCCGAACTTTGCATTTTTCTCTCCACCGTCTCCAGAAAAGCCTTGGAGAGTGTGGCGTCGCTCCAACTCCATGATTGAATATTCAAACTGGCGGCAGTAGCTGACACTTCGCCCACAAGTCGAACGGCGTTGCCTCCAACAAATGGATCTGACAACAATTTGGGATAGCGTTAGCTCGTTAAGTTAACATTCACAGCAATGGTATTAGATTGTTGTGTACCTTCTGTCATCGCAAGCAGAGTCTTCAGCGTTCCTGCACTTGCACCAAGACGTATGAGCTTCATACAGTACTAAGGCGTCAGCAGCATGAAGCAGACATACCGGACTGAAATATGTACTGCACACCAATCTTGGTCTGGCATAATGCGGGCACCAAGTCGACGACATTCATCAAGAACAGTGGGTCGTCTGATTTTAGGCAGTTCAGAATCTATCCACAGCCACAAAGTCTGCTAATTAATTCAAGGTGTCGATAAAGCTTAGCTTCATCTAGACGTACCAAGTCAATGGCACCAGAAGAGATGCCATACTCCATGTGTTCATCCTTCTGTGCGCAGATCTTCACAATTGTTTCCAAATACCGTAAGAATTCAATTGAATTCTCTGTAATTTCACTGAATAAACATCAACTTTCAGTACATCACCCGCTAAAAAAATCTTCAAATGTTCGGCAGACCTGCTCTGCGCTTTGGTCTTCAGTGAGTCTAGCACTGCTTGGTAGATGCCACTGTTTGCGATGTTTGAAAGCTATAAGACCCACATCAATTATTAGCGAACCAAAAAAAAACACGTGAACTCTCACCATTTCCAACACAGTCGACGCCTTGGCAGCCACCTCAATGTCTTCATCCGTTATTACATCGCAAACCTGCGTCAAAACCAGTGGGTCCGCCTGCGTTATTGCAATAGTAGAGAAAGACTTAGCATTGGCAGGAGTTTCAGGCGATTCCAGGTCGTACCACGACTTTGACCTGGTCCAGCGACGGCTTCCTGCCTAGTTGTGCAATAAACTGGTTCACCACAAGCACTCTCGCCTCCTTCTCTACATGCGCTAGTCCAGCCAGAACAAACGGTACAATCTGTCGGTGCATGTCAGTTCATATGAGGCCGGGTTATTGTACAATAGATACACAAAAACTTACGTCTGGCTGAAAGAAGAGACCGGTACCGTCGTCCTCAGCGCTCAGCACGCGGTTGATACAGGCACACGCCTGCTTCACCTGTTTGCAGCGTATACTACCGGGTTAGGAGAGTAAGGGTCGTTGGCTGGAACCAGGTGCGCACGGACCTGCTTGGAGGATCCACGATCGCTTGCGTCCTGTAGACAAGCGAACAGTGTCTCGACGGGGATCCTCTCCAGGAAATCATGCACCAGTGCGTTCTCCTGTTCGGCCGCGTACAGGTGCCCAGAAGTACCAATGACTGTCTCCTGGAAGCGCATTATTTCCTGCCATACCACGTTGATATCCATTATTTAGTATGCTCCTGCGCTTGCCAAAATTCGAAAAATGAGTGTCAGTTTGAGCAAATTTCAGGTAAAATATTGGTAATAAGACTGAAAACATTTCTTACAGCTCCTTTTTGTATCTTAGCAAAGAAATATGTTTTCTAAATTTAAATATTGCAGCGTACCTTGAATATTTGGGATGAAGGGGATAATACACTGCGCGACAGATCACATCGGACACCCACTTACAGTGCTCTAGCGCCGTCAATACGGCGAGTTAGGTCATACTATTTAGATATATGCGAGTTATTGACAGTAGGAAAAGCCTAGGAGCACTAACGAGCGCAGATTCGGCCGCTGAGGGGGACCTCCAATACAACTTTCCACTTTCAGCTCCACGACAGATCAGATCGGACAGTACAGACTATACAAAAATCAAGTATATTTTTAAGCTGAAAATTTGTGGCTGCAGCGCGTGTACCTGGTGGGTGGCTGCCATGAGCGTGGAGTGCATGGCTCATTCTAAAAGATGCCGAAGACCAAGAAGCCTCCATTAACCGAGCGAGAGAGGGGGAGGATTGACATCCTCTTTGAGGCTGGAGCCTCCAAGCGCGCCATCGCGCGCAGCCTCGGCCGCAGCCCCGACACCATCTGCCGTGCACTGCCTCCCAAGCCTCCACCCAAGGCACGCAAGACCGCGAAGCCCCCCAAGCGAAGCGGAGCGCCCCCAGCACTGACGAACCGCGAGGTCAGGCGTCTTGTGCGCACTGCATCGCGTGGCGAGCACTCGGCGGCGCAGTTGAAAGCCGAGTTAAGCCTCGACGTGCACGTGAGGACCATCCAGCGCGTCCTAGTGAGGGTCGACTGGCTGGTCTACACGAAAATGGTTAACACGCTTCCGCTGAAGCCGGAAGACATGGCCGCACGCTTCACGTGGGCAGCGGGGAAGCTGTTGCTGAAAGACGCCGGGTCTTATTGGGATTCCATTATCTTCTCTGATGAGAAGAAATGGAACCTTGATGAGCCCGACGGCTTTCAGCAATATTGGAGGGACTTACGCCGACCTCCCCGAAGGACCAATAGAAGGCAAGCAGGGGAGGATCGGTAATGGTTTGGGCTGCATTTAGTGGGCGGGGAAAGTCTCAGCTGGTAATTTTGAATGGGAAGCGAAACTCTACCGACTACGTGTACACGTTGTCCGAGTTTTGCTTCCCTATGCACATGCCAACTACGGTCTAGACTATATCTTCCAACAACATAATGCCAGCATCCACATCTTAGCCCGCACTAAGGACTTTTTTGCGGACCAGGAAGTCAAGGTGCTCGACTGGCCGTCTAAGTCACCCGACTTAAATCCTATTGAAAACCTATGGTCAATAATGAGCCGGCGCGTTTACAGGAACGGTAAGCAATTCGACAAGGTGTGTGGTCTGAAAGAAGCCCGATTCGAAGCTTGGCATTCCATCCCTCTCGCTTTGCTGCAGTCACTGGTAGAGTCAATGCCGCGTCGCTGCTTAGCGGTTGTTGCCGAGAAAGGAGATAGAACGACTTACTAAGGAAAAAAAAACCTGATTTTTGTATAGTCTGTACTGTCCGATCTGATCTGTCGTGAAGCTGAAAGTGGAAAGTTGTATTGGAGGTCCCCCTCAGCGGCCGAATCTGCGCTCGTTAGCGCTACTAGGCTTTTCCTACTGTCAACAACATCGCATATATCTAAATAGTATGACCTAACTCGCAGTATTGACGGCGCTAGAGCACTGTAAGTGGGTGTCCGGTGTGATCTGTCGCGTAGTGTATCGGAGCTGTACATTCCGCGCAAAAAATATATGGATGAATATAGTGATCTTTCCGACAAATAAATTTTATAGTTACGACCAGAGTGAGTTTAATAATTACATTAGCCAAACACCTTTCTTATTTTGGTGCTTTTAGCCAGTAATAGGTGTTAGGGGTAGGGGTTGGACTCTTCGACACTTTCCGACATATATTTGTCGGAAGTAAAGGCATAAATATGAATATTCCAATACAATAAAAAAAAGCTAAATATTCTACGAATTCGGACATATAGGCTAAAGCAGGAATATCCCTAACGTAGGAGTTCAATAGATGACAGCACTCCTTACTTTTCAAAAAGCAGAAGAGAAAGCTCAGCATGAGCCTCTCGGCCTTCGTTCCTACGAGCACGTAAAAGGCGCGCTCAACTGCAATTGCAGCATTCAAGCGGATGCTGGAGGATGAGCATGTTAATTTGGAATTTGTCCAAGCTAGCATTCTTCTCGACACCTCTGGCAAACGCTTAGCGGCAACAACGGACCGATTTGGTGTCTATTTGGCCACTAACGAAGGTAAGAAAGGAAAGCTTGCAAGGAACACTGCGTCCTCAAAATATAGAAACGTAAAGCTATGGCTATTCGATGTGTATTCTCACTTGCGTGTAGCTACTGAATTGATATTGTTAAAGCAAGGAAAGACGTTAGATAAACACTACTTAAAACGTGAAAATGGAGGGTTAACTAACAAAGCTCCCCCTTGTACTAAAGAGGATTTAAAGGCCATAGTACGTTATGTTTACAGCAATGCACGAGTCAACGCAGACTACCAAGACGCTGCCATGGCGCGTTTGATGTGGCACTGTTTTGGTCGATCATCAGACCTCTGCTACGTCCAGAAGCAACATGTGTCGGTGTCATCGGACGGCGTGTTTTATCTGCGCTTGCTCCGCGTAAAGACTTCCGAGGAACAAGGCCTCACACTTGCCCCCGACAAGGACGACTTCTTGACGTGGCCATTGCACTCGCTAGCAGTAGCGCTGGCAATACCAGAAGCTCCTAGTCCGTCGCTACTTGGTCACTTGCCAGCGCTAACTCCACAGACAAGTGCTATGCTTGATGCTGGAGCTTCAATACACGACTAGCTTTCCTTGACCCCCGACACACTCCACGTTGCCGTTACCCCGCGACCTACAAATCCCCAAGACACAGTTAGCAGAAACTCACCCGCTCCAATCCCAACACTGGACAAAGGCGTGAAACGAGGCGAGGACAGCATGCAGAGCCACGTCAACAGGATGCTGAAGCGCGTAACCGAGCCTGCAGGGGTCAAGGCGGAGTTGAGTTCTCATTCCTTTCGCCGAGGAGGTGCTCAACGCGTTAATGGCGACGACCGACTTGCTGCTCAGTGGATCTTCGACCATGGTGCTTGGGATATGACGAAGACCAACAAGGCCTTTGCCTATATCACCAGCACCGCGCGGGAGGACAGGAAGATGGCGCGCGTCTTGAGCGGCTGGAGTGCTGACGCTGCTTCTAAGGTGATCGACACGGCTTTGCTGGACTTTACGGCGCTCGAGCATCTTGAACGGTTACAGGAGCTGTTGTTCGCCATCTGTACAAGTCTCAACGAGCGCAGGCTAAACGTGAGTACAAAGGTTCTCAGCGTACTCACAGCTTGTCTTGTCCGACACTATCCTCAGCTCAAGGCTCTTGCCCCTAGATCACCCATAGTCATGCGCGTTGAAGAGTGCCTGGTTGCTGCTGACATCCCCCTTGCGAGCTTGCTGAAGTGGTCTATAGCGCTGAACGAGAAAGCTGATGTACCTGCTCAAGACAAAGAAGAAACCTAAGAAGCAACGCACATGTGTCCGGCAATGAATCATGTTTTGGCTGTCATTTAATAGTTAGTTGCATTCAATCGTGTCCTAGCAGAACGCATGACCATCGTCGAGGCCGCGCTACTCAAGTGTCGAAGCTCATCTTTGTAAACAAGGCAGCAGCTGAAGAGCAACAACAAGAGCAAGAATCGTCAAATCAAGAGCCAAAGCCTAAGCGAAGGAAAAAGCAAGCAACGAACCTGTCCGCCACGTGGTACGAGTGGTACACTAAGACGCCTCCTGTGTGGAGCAGTACTGAGTGTCAAAAGAAGTCCGAGTCGCGCCACGTCGTCGCATTCATAAAGATCTTCTTGGCAGATGGCATCGCGTTAGACATCCAAGCTGGACTACAAAGACCAAGTTCTCGACGCCGGTCGCAGGGCATAAGAAGCTGTTTTCGGGTTTCTAACGTCGCAAGGCGTTAATGCGAAGGGAGCTGGCAGTGCTCTGCACGCGCTACGACCATTCCACAAGTCTGGGGCGTTGGATGATCGCATAAGCGCGTACAAGCGCCTCCTTGCCACCGGAAGAATAGCTGACCCTGCTCCAGTAGACACTAAAGACATACTCGCCGTGGTGGGGCACGGCTAAACCCTCTTGAATACAATTACATTCACAGTTAGTACAGTTAGTTACAATACAACGCATTTCGTACAGCGAACTGCTTCTTCACCACCAACAAACCTGGTGCTGCACCTCACAACGTTGAACACTCAGCACGAGCCCCTTCAACGGCAGCACGAATCATCGCCGCCCTCCCTAGCACAAACCAACGCATTTCTCGGCAGCGACGTCAGCACGAACCAGCACCGCACTATTCTACAGACGTAGCAGTCGCCAACAGCGTCCTCCCAAGCAGCCGCAGCAGTCACCAGCGTCGTCCTCCCCAGCAGCCTTACCAGTCACCAACGTCGCTCTATCCAGCAGCTGTAGTCGTCACTAACCATGTCTCAAAGGATAGCGCCGACCCGACTTGAACGGGCTCCTCAGGGTAAACCCTGGCTCTACCAGTTGAGCTACGGCGCTGCGGTCGGAGGGGGTCAGAGCTCTGCTTAGTAGCTGATGAAAAAAGAAAACTGATTCGACTTGAGCTCTGTCGGCAGTCGGCCCACATGTGGCGCTTCGATAGCCACTGATGGCAGCGCGTGTCTGTTCCAAGACAAGTGGCATTAGCTCATTGGTAGAGTTGATCCAATTGGAGGCAATCAACCTTTCATTGGCTAATAATTTATCCTATATCCAGGTTCGTGCCTCCAAGGTCACCTCAATTAGTGGCCCCTCTCACTCCCCTCATTAATGAATTTGCTGCGTGAGGAGCACATTGCTCTGAGGCTTTAAACATGCGTGTAACGGAAAATGGCAATATTTCAGCCTA